AACTCTACGGGGGTAGTTATGAATCGAGTACACACATGACGTTTTGTATTTATAAAACTGGCGTGTCGCTTATTCAAGTATTAGCATAACGATCCTTCCTTCCTTCCTTCCTTCATTTCTTTCCAGTTGCATGCATTTTTCATACACGTATGTATGCACGTGTATAATACACGGTTACCATCAGATAACGAATACGCTTCATCTCTTTCTTCATTCATCTACGAGGGGTTGGTAGGGGCTTGAGGATCATTCGTTCAACGTGTTAGACACTTTTATATACGTGCCAAGATAAATTTCATCTAGATTGCTGTTATTGTTCTTCTTTTTCTTTTTCTAGTTCTTGTTTGTCATTTTTTTATTCAATGTTAGTTAGAAAAATGAGAAAACATTGATAAGAAATCTAATATCAAGAGTTTTCGCAAATGTAAATACAAAAATTACATGGAATAAATGGAATATCGATAAGTGAGAAATAAACTGGTTTCAAAGGGTACAAGTTTAAACTTATGCATATACATATATATATATATATATATATATATATATATGTGGATATGAGTGAGTGTGTAATGTGTAAACAGAGATTACTACACATCTTCGTAGTTTGGAGAATCATAAATTAGTACTTAGGTACTACTACTACCTACTACTACTACTACTACTACTAGTCTCGTTGCTTCGATTTCAAGCTTCGCACCAATTTGCATAAAGTTGTCAACAGCTTTCCCGTATTTCGCGTCCGTGCACTCGTATTTTAATTAAATTCAAATGCAGATTAAATTAACGCCATAAACCGCAGGAGTCCGAGCGTAAGCGTCTCCTTCACCAGTAGTTGGACATCTCTCTCTCTCTTTCTCTCTTTTTCTTTCTCTTTCTCTTTCTCTGTCTCTTGTTTATTTTCAACTTTTACAACGACGACGACGATCATTTCGTAACTCCCGTTCGAGTAAATGTCGAATAGTTCAGTCGTCTGAGTTATCAAAATGTGAATATAATAAAAGAGAAAATATTCAACAATTTATTCTGATAATTTGACACTTGCATCAATTTTTTGTTTCTTTTTTGACCAGCATAAGTACTCGAATTAATTACATTTGATGGTTGACAAAAGGGGGAATGAATGGGGGATAGAAAAATGTTATATATGAATGTAAAGAAAAATAGAAATATGAAGAAGTGAGAAAAAGGTTGGGGTTGGGGTTTGGGGGTTGAGGTTTGGGGGTGTAGCACTTGGATCACGCATGGGGACACCTCTTTTGGGATAATTTTCTCAGTACGAATAATCGAGTGGTAATTTATCGTCTTGCTTAATTAACTCACGATCGTTAATGAGCCCCTAGTGGGTTAAGGAGGAGGAAAGGAGGAGGTTGGATTCACCGTGTTTAATCCTAAAAAGCCGTGTTTGTGTAAGGGTCGTAAAGAAGAGCCCCCGAAGTAACGGCGAGAACGTAATTTAGGCTGGATTAACGACCTCAACACGGTCTTTCAATTACTTCCTATCCAAAGGTGGGACGAAAACCAGTTCCTTTTAACCCAGTCGTTTTAAGAACCATCTTCTTTTATTTTTTTTTTATTTTTTAGTTCAATTGAAAAAAAAAAAATATTATATTTATATCAAGCGTTTATATTTGGAATAAAAAAAAAAAAAAAAAAACAAAAAAGAAAAAAAAAGGGAAGGGTAATTGACCGATCTTGAATACACTCGTGTTTTGCACGTTTAATACAAATTTATATATTTAATTTATATGAATTATTTGTGTGTTTATTAATTTTTTATTTTACTAATGGATTGAGACAAGTTTTGAACGTAATATATGGTAAGGGATTTTTTTGTGTAAATTAATTTTATTTAAAAAAAAAAAATAAATAAATAAATAAAAAGGAATTATAAATATTTTTTTTTTTGTCGAGGTTCCAAACTTTTCAACTCATCTTTTTATTTACATTTTGTTATCATTTTTGTACAATTATTATAAGAATAATTTATTTATACATTATTATAAGTTAAAAAAATTAAATTATTATTCATATATAGGATACTAGTATTTTGTTTATAATAAAAGAAATGAATTTGAATAGAAATGTATGAGAAGAACGTAGGTGAGAAAGATGAGACTTAAAAAAAACTAAGAAGATGATCATAAAAAATGATTTATCTTTGAAGATAAACAATTGTCATAAGACAGGTGCGATTTACGACGACTTACTTTATGACATAAGCCTAACTAGTTGTTGGTTTGTCGTTGTGACGATCGTAGAAGAAATTACATTTAAATAATGCATACTACTACTATACTCTCTCTCTCTCTCTCTCTCTCTCTCTCTCTCTCTCTCTCTCTCTCTCTCTCCTACGGCATATGCAATTCATGTGTGTTACACCTCACGTTGGGACGAGAAAAAAAAAGGAAAAAAAAGGGTGAAGAGGGTTGCGCGGTATTTCAATGAATTTTAGAGCTCGTACTCTTCTTTCAGCTAACCTATTCTTCTTCATATTTTTTTTTTTTAAGAGAGAGAGAGAGAGAGAAAGAGAGTGAGTGAGATAGAGGCAAAGTAATTCAAAGCAAACGCGAGAGTAATAGAATTTTATTAGAATTCGATGCTATTGCTTCTCTCTAGAAGCTTTTATCCATTAGAACGGATATGGTTTTTTATTTTTTTTTTTATTTTTTTTTTTATTTTTTCCCTACATATGGACCATACGTATAAATACACACACACACACATACTCATATATATATATATATATATATA